ATAACAGGTAGATAGCTCAATGGAACAGGATAGAGAACCCGGAAATGGACCCAAGACAATATGCTCAATTAATATTTGACAAAGTTGGCAAGAGCATATAGTGGAGTAAAGACAGCCTCTTTAATAAATTGTGTTGGGAATATTGGACAGCTACATGCAACAAAATGAAACTAGACCATCAACTTACACCCCACACAAGAATAAACTCAAAATGGATAAAAGACTTAAATATTACCCGTGAATCTACAAAAATTCTACGAGAAAATGTAGGCAACAAAATTTCAGACATTATACGAAGCAGAATTTTTACTGATACACCCCCAAGGCATCAGAAACAAAGGAGAAAATGAACACATGGGACTACATCACACTCGAAAGCTTCTGCACAACAAAAGAAACAACCACCAAAATGGAAAGGCAACCCACTCTATGGGAGAGCATAATTGCCAATGGTACATCAGATAAGGGGTTAATTTCTAATATACATACAGTGCTCATACAGCTCAACAAAAGGAAGACAAAGAACCCAATTTAAAAATGGGCAGAGAAACTAAATAGACACCTCGCCAAACAAGACATACAAGTGGCTAAGAGACATATGAAGAAATGCTCAACATCACTAATCATCAGAGAGATGCAAATTAAGACAACAATGAGTTATCACCTCACATCTGTAAGAATGAAAGATCTCTTATCCTTTGAGACAACATGGTGAGACCTGGAGAGTATTATCCTAAGCCAAACAAGCCAAGCAATGAAAGACAAATATCACATGATCTCACTTGTGGAATATAATGAACATAACAGTCTGAGTAACAGGATAGTCCCAGAGACATGGAAGTGGCGTACAGACTTACTATCCCTCGGGGGGGGGGGGGGGGGGTGATAAACCACAGAACTTATATGCATGTATGCATGAATAATGGACATGGACAACAAAGCTGGGGACAGGGTGGGGAGGGACAGGGAGGGGGGAATCAATGGGAGAAAAAGGAGAAACGTCTGTAACAAAAATAAATTAATTAATCAAATTTAAAAAATAAAAGTGGGAAGAGGACTTGAATACACACTTCTCCAAAGAGGACCGGCAGATGGCCAAGAGATTTATGAAAAAAATGCTCAACATCACTATTCATCAGAGAGATGCCAGTTAAAACAACTATGAGGTATCACTTCACACTTGCCAGAGTGCCTGCCATCAACAAATAATCAAAGAAGTGCTGGCAAGGACCTGGAGAAAAAGGTACACTGCTGGTGGGAATGCAAACTGATGCAGCCACTATGTAAAATAATATGATGTTTTCTCAAAAAATTAAAAATGGAAATGTCATTTGACCCAGTGATCACATTACTAGGAATATATCCTAAGTTGCCTGAAACACCAAGCAGAAAGAATATATGTTCCCCTATTGTTCATAGCAGCACTATTTACAATTGCTACCATCTGGAAACAGCCCAAGTGTGCATCAGCCGATGAGTGGATAAAAAATCTGTGGTGTATATACAGAATGGAATACTATTCAGCTGTAAGAAAGAAAGATCTCTTATCCTTTGGGATGACATTGAGGGACCTGGAGAGTATTATGCTAAGCAAAATAAGCCAGTCAGAGAAAGCCAAATACCACATGAATTCACTTATTTGTGGAATACAAAATAAGCTGATGAACAAAATAGGCCAGAGACATAGTAGTAGGGTACAGACTGAGAAACCTCAGAGGGAAGAGGGTATCAGGAAGAGATTAATCAAAGAACTTATATGTATATATGCATAGCCAATGGACATAGACAAGAGTAAAGTGAAGATGGGTTGGGGGTGGATTGTGGAGGAGGCTGTCAATGGGATGAAAATGGAGGGACATTTGTAATACTTTCAACAATAAGGATAATGCTTTTTAATGTACAGGAAGCAAAAACTGATGGAACTGATAAAAGAATTGGCCAAGTCAACTGTTATTGTTGAGGCCTCAAAACTTTTTTCTCAGCAAGTTAATAGAATTACTAGAGGGAAAAATCATCGAAGATATAGATGTGAAAATTACAATAATGTAATCTACATGACATATACAGAATATTCTACCCAACAGCAGCAGAGTATGCATTTCTTTTAATTTCCCCTGCATTATTCACTAAGATAGACCATCTCTGGGGCCATCAAACAAACCTAAACAAATTTAAAAGAATTCAAATTGGACACAAAGGGCCACTGCAATTTGAGAAAGAACAAAATTGAAGGTGTCATGTTACTTGATATAAAACTATACTTACTACAAGGCCATAGTAATGAAAACAGCATGATTCTGGCATAAAAATAGACATATAGATCAATGGAAGAGAAGAGTGAGCCCAGAAATAAACCCACACTCTTATTGTCACTTAATATTTGACAAAGGTGGCAAAAACACACAGTGCTGTAAAGATAGTCTCTACAATAAATGGTGCTGGGAAAATTGGACAGATATGTGCAAAGAAATGAAACTAGACCACCTTCATACACCATACACAAGAATGTACTCAAAATTATTCAAGAATTAAATGTTAGGCTCAAAACCATAATAATCCTAGAAGAAAACATAGGCAGCAAAATATCAGACATTTCTCATAGCAATATTTTTTCTGATGTATTGCCTCGGGCAAGGGAAACAAGAAAAAATAAATGCAACTACATCAAAATAAATAATTTTGGCACAGCAAAAGAATCCCATCAACAAAATGAAAAGACAACACACTGAATGGGAGAACATATTCGCCGATATAGCTGATAAGGGCTTAATATCCAAAATTTATAAGGAACTTATAAAACTCAACACCAAAAATACAAACAATCCAATTAAGAAATTGGCAAAGGACCTGAATAGACACTTCTCTAAAGAGTACATACAGATGGCCAATAGACATATGAAAGGATGCTTAACGTTACTAATCATATGAGAAATGCAAATTAAAACCACAGTGAGCTGTCATCTCAGACCTGTCAGAATGGCTATCATCAATAAATCAACAAACAACAAATGTTGGTGAGGATGTGGGGAAAAAGAAACCTTCATGCACTGTTGGTGGGAATGTAGATTGTTGCAGTCACTGTGGAAAACAGTATGGAGTTATCTCAAAAAATTAAAAATAGAATTGCCTAATGACCCAGCAATTCTACTTCTGGGAATATATCCAAAGTAACTGAAACACTACTTCAAAAGAATATATGGGCCCCTCTGTTTATTTGAGCATTATTTACAACAGCCAAGATTTGGGAGCAGCTCAAATCTTTATCAGTAGATGAGTGGATGATAAAAAGCCATTATATATTTACACAATGGAAGGAAATCTCACCTTTTGTGACAGCATGGATGGCTTTGGAGAATGTTACATTAAGTGAGATAAACCAGTCAGGTACAGACAAGTACCACATGATTTCACTTTTATGTGAAATCTAGTGAACAAAATAAACTTACAGAGTGGAGACAGACTCATGGATACAGAGAGCAGACTGACAACTGTCAGAGGGAAGGGGCTTGGGGGCTGGGTGAGAAGGAGGAAGGGATTAAGGAAAGAAAGGACAACTGTGTGGTGATTGTCAGGGAAGCAGGGGTGAGGGAAGTAGAAAAGGGTGAAGGAGGGCTAAAGGGTGATGGAAGAAAATTTGACTTGGGATGGTAAATACACAATACAATAATGATATATTGTAGAATTGTATACCTAAAACTTATATAATTTTATTAACCAATGTCATACCAATAACTTCAATAAAAAATAAATAAATAAATAAATAAGAATTGGAATCATAGAGTGTGTTCTCTGACCTTAGTACAATGAAGCTATATATCTATAGCAGAAGCAAATAGAAAAATATATAAACATTTGTAGTTGACACTATTGTTCCAGTTTATTGTTGAGGTTCTTGTTATAAAAGAGCAGAAGTTAGAATTTTCCCGAGCTGAAATATATTTCCAGCTGAACAAAAAGAAAGCTTACTCAGGATATTTCAGAGTATTTTTTGAGAGCAAGGCTGGAGAGAGGAGGACAGTTTAGGAAGCTGTTACATGAATCTCATCTGACATTAGAGCCTGGACTGTTAAAAAAGAAAGTACAGCTTACTTAGTAGTAATACAATCAATTTGGTAGTTGATTATATTTGGAAGTTATGAGAGAGTTTGCTTACCAGGTTGTAGTAGGGTTATTAGATTAGAGAGACCTGAAAGAAGGCAAGATACATATGCCTTCCTACTGTATAACCCATGAATGTTCATACTTTCGTTCTTTATAAATCCTGTCTCATTTTCTAAATAGTTCCACACAGTTACCCCCTACTTCAAGATTTTTTTCCTGATTATACCATCTTTCAAGTAAGACTCTCATATCTAGAGAGGTAGAGGAGTTTGTTTTCTGGGATTTGTATGATTGTTCCACTCAGGCAGGTTGACACTTGGCTTGCCCTACCATAGTGTTAGGCCAAGATGTGGTACATGGTATGAGACCACTGATGCATCCTCAAAGTTTTATTTTTTGTTCTCAATTTCAAAATACAATAATGATGGCAGCTCCCTTTAGGAAAAATGAAAGTTGGGATTCTTTCCCGAATTTTAACAAGGGGAAACTTCATTATGAATATGGTGGGTATGAGCCCCAGCCTTTCCACCTTCAGGAGGATGATGGAGACGAGGCAATGAGGGATTCCCAGAAGGACCCTCAAGTAAGACAGTAAGTATTCAGGCAGCCTAGTTTGCCTGTAGCAGCAGCTAGGCCTATGCAACTCTTTCACTGTCCATAGTCTCCTTTTTCTTCTCTTCCTGTAAAAGTGAAGAGCGATAGAACTGAATAATGGTTGAACAATCCTATTTGTAGATCTGGTATAATTGAGGTGAGCATATATCGAAGATATTTTTAGTATTTCTGTACATTTATGGAAACTCACTTTTATGCACTGCCCCACAGAACCCTCTCTGACTTTCACCTTAACAATATCAGTGTGGAAAGGATTAAACCATACAAAGGTAGAACTCATCAAGAGAGACAAATGGAGAAGAACACACAGGATGGAACCCTGGGAGACTGGTTCAAGATCACAGTGAGTATCTTGACAAAATGTAGGGAATGTACATGAGAGACAGATCAAGGGGAGTTGTGTTGATCTCATATAAAGATGCTAGGAACTTTGTTAAGGACAGGAGTTGACCTATTTGATTATCTAGAGGGCAGAGTCAGAGAAGCAATAAAAAGGGAACGGGTTGACTGAAGGAAGGTCACAGGAAGTTGACTACAGGCAAAGGTAGAAACTACTGCCAAGAAGAGAAAGCAACTCCTCACTATATGGCTCAGTTTGGTGCAAGTGTGTGGGTGTGTGTGTGGGGGGGGGATGTAGATTCTCTAAAGTTTTTATCAGGGACAGGTGGAGTCTTCAATAGGTAGGATCTTTCCTGGAACCTTATTAAAGGAAGAACCTTATTAAAGGAAGAAATTTAAGCATCTAAATTTGATTATTGGGGAGGTAAATATTGGAATAGAGAAAAAGGACAGTTAGAAAATCTATATCTGGCGGGGAAAAAAAAGTTGAAATCATGTCAATGGTCCCTGCTTTAGTCTTAAAGTTTGGTAGGTCAGAATAAAACACTGGGTTGGGCTGTTCTCTAGCCTTGTTTCTATGTTGTCCCTCCTGTCTCTCATCCCTTCCTTTCTTCTCATCCTTAGGTCCCTTATGGGGTAAAGTATGACAAGACATGGCTAATGAATTCAATCCAGAGCCACTGCAGTGTCTCCTTCACTCCAGTGGACGTAAGAGGGAGAGAGAAGCCAGATGAGGGGGCACAGGCAAGGGGGAGAGACGTATCTCAGCTGGGGCCATTGGCCTCTGACACCATTGCTGTCGCTTCAATCCCTGTAGTTTCACTATGTTAAACACCTGGCCCAGTTCTTTGTCCAGGACGCCAGTGCTGCCTCTGCATTGAAGGATGTCAGCTACAAGATATGTGATGAGCAGAACCAAAAGGTGTGTGTTGAGGATATTTTCTATACCTAGTCCCAAAGTAGGAAGACAGACCAGAGACTATGAACCTTCTTCTGGACTGAAGTTTCCGGTGCTTACTTCACCTCTTCTTCCTGCAGATAGCTATCTTTGTCAAAACTTCTGCTGCACCCTACTCTGTGTGCAAAAAGATGGAGCCAGAAGAAATGGAAATGCTAAAGGTAATGTAGACACAAGGTACATTGTGCCTCCGCACTCAGACCCTCCTGTTTCTCCTCCAGCCCCCGACTTCCCAGTCACCACCACAACCTCAGAGTGGCTGTTTTCATCTCCTTCTGCAGCTGACCATAAGCAAACGATATGATGTCTCCCAGAAAGCTCTTGACCTTCATAAGCTTCGCTTTGACCCAGGTATAGCTGATGGTAGTAATTCTAGGGCAGGTGAGGGCAGAGGAGTCTCCCTAAGAGGGAGACAGAGAAATGGTAATGAGGGAAATGCTGGTTCTGGAACCCTCTCAACCTTCTGATTCCCTACCCTCGGCTCCCTGAAGACTTACTGGGCCATGATATTATTATAATCCTGAATCACAAAAACTGCATGACTGCCATCCTGCAGATCATCGAAAAGAATTTCCCTGAGGTAAGGCCTTAGGCCTAGTGCTGGTGTTATGGTAGGGGTGGAAGAGATGGGATGGAGGGCAGATTTGTCTCCAAGGTCCTAGATAGTAACCATCACTTTAACTTTTCTTCCCTAAAGCTGTTGTCCTTGAACTTGTGCAAGAACAAACTGTACCAGCTGGATGGCCTGTCTGATATTATACAGATGGCCCCCACAGTCAAGATCCTGAACCTCTCCAAAAATGAGGTGAGAAGAGGGACAGATCAGACTTGGGTTGAGAGAGCAGGGTAGTTGTTATCAGAGTGATAACAGGAGGGACGCAAAACACCTGTGGGGGGAGAGAAGGGTGTGTGTGTGTGTGTGTGTGTGTGTGTGTGTGTGTGTGTGTAGGAGTCCAGGTGTCTCTCTTTTCCTAGTATTTCTTTTCCAATTTTCCCCATATTTCTCAGCTGAAATCCACCTGGGAGTTGGACAAGATAAAAGGGCTGAATCTTGAAGAGCTGTGGCTGGAAGGGAACCCCTTGTGCTGCACCTTCCTAGACCAGTCCACTTATGTAAGGTTGGTAATAACCACTGTCACCATTCCTGGGAAAGATCCTTCCTTCACCCCGTAAGAGCCAAATTACCTCTAACAGAGCTCCTTTGCAGGATGTGGAATCTCTAGTCCTCTGGGAGGACTACAGGCCCTCCCCTCTTCTTTCTCATTGTATGTGTCTCTTGCCTGAGCTTAGAAGTTTCATTTCCTTCCTCTGATCTGATCACTTGGCCTGAAGTTGCTTTCCACCTCTCTGCACCCAGCTTTCTCAAGCATGCCCTCCTAGGAGTACTCCAGGAAACATGACTCTTCCTCATCACGAGAACCGGGGGGGTCTGGCCTTGTGACAGATGCTGGTGGCCTGCACTGAGAAGGATCTTCCAACCCAGGCCTCATGCTGAGACAGGGCTTCTTGCTGCTGAAATGATGTAGAGTATCCCTATCCTCTTATAGCAGGAACCTTCTTTCCTCTCCTTCAAAAGGGTCTCCTCTACAATCCCACAATGACATGAGGATTTTCCCACTCCATGCTGATGGCCCAGGCCCCTGGGGGGTGTCATCATGATATTCCTTCCTCTGGCCCTATGTCAGGAGCTGGGTCTTCTTTGGAAGAATCCAGGGTCCCCTATTCAAGGGTCCAGAAGTGAGCCACTGCCAGTGAGCAAAGGGCCTCTTGAAGCAATCTGAGGGCAGAGAGGGTTGAGGAGACAGAAAGACAATCCTCTCAGGGACACTGCCCCTCCCTCCACACATCACCTGTGTGGTCCTTCAGAGGAACCCTGGTTAGCCTGAAACAGGTAGGATTCCTCTGGCAAGGAACCAACTAAGACAGGCAGAGGTGCACAGAGACCATGAGGAGAGAAGGTGGTGATCCTAAGAGGGGGCCACAGACCTCTAACACCAAGCTCAGCTGGGGCATGATGCTTAGTCCTTCTGGGGAAGGTCTCCTGATCCCGTGGCTGGTGTGTTCCTCAGGCCCAGTTCAGGTTGAGTTCCCACATGTGACAAAGGCTCAACCAGAATCCCATGGCCCTGAGGCCAACAGGTGCATGTTTTTCATTCCTACCTCGGGTCCCAGGGACAGCCAGGGGCAGATGACGGAAAGGGCTGCCATGTACCCTTTCTTCTTTTCTCTTTTTTGACTGTCCCCCCCTCCACCATCAGGGCAGAGTTTTTTTCCCTTCTCTTCTCTCTTTCTCCCATGTCTCTATTCTTCCAGGTCTCCCCAATCTACACTTCTGTCTTCATCCCCCTCTCTTTCCCTCCCTACCTTCTAATGCCTCCCTTCTTCACCTCCCTGCCCCAGCATCCTGGTCCATCCCTAGGACATGTCCTTTTGCTGGCAGGATGCTGGGCCCCCAGTGAGGTGTCAGAGCCCTGGGCCCCTACCCCATTCCCTCTTCTGTCTGGAGCCATCAGTGGAGGCCTGGAGGGAGGGTGGGAGAGAGGGAGGGTGGGAGGGAGGGAGGGAGGCAGGGAGGAAGAAGAAACCCTGGAGTCTGGGATCCCAATGCTGTGTCTTGTGGCACTGGAGAAGGAGTCAAGGCCCTCTTGGCGGGAGCTAACCAGGAGGGAGGAGAGGGAAGAGTGAAAAGGTGAGGGAGGGCGGGAGGGAATAAGGGAAGTAATATGAATGTGGAGGTGTGGAGAAAGATGAGGAGACTGTGTGTTTCAGAGATCCCATATGGCAGATGGTCAGTGTTCATCACAGAAGTGAATGCAGAAGCCTTTAAATTAGAGGCCTAGGAGGGCAAAGGGGCTGCTGGGCTGGCAGAACACTATCTCTGTTCAGACCATCAGTGTTTTTAGTAAATGGGAGCATTGCAACCCATGCTATCAACCACTTCTTTCTATTTTTGGATTCGGACAGTGCCATCAGGAAATGTTTCCCCAAGTTGTTACGTTTGGTAAGTGCCTTCATTCCTCATCTTGTGTTACTAACTTAACAACCTCCACACCTACCCTCAAGACCTTTGTGTCTTGCCCAGATTACATGTTTGCATCAGACCCTTACCCATTTTGGGGAACATGGGTTTATGGAACAGACGTGAATATGAATAATCTCTGGGAAAATGTACACACACAGAGAGAAAGAGACAATTGAAGAGAGTGGGACACACACACACACACACACACCCACACACACACACACACGTTGCATAAAACAGTAGAGACTTCCAGGACCTCATGATACAGACTTCCACTGGAATCTTGCCCATAGAATTTCCAGGGCCCTTTCACTCCTGTCCTCTGACTTTCACAGTCTCCTGGGCCCATCCTTTCCCCTAATCATCCAAGACCTCCCTGGTCTGCACTGCTGAATTCCTCTTCCTTTCTACAGGATGGCCAGGATTTACCCCCATCAACTGTGACTGACATTGTAGATATGGACATAATAAAACCCTGTCAGGTAAGGACAGACTCAGCAAGATTTGAGGTGTTGCAAGGAATACTTTGTTTTCTACATAGTTTGAAGTTGTCCTTTGATTCCAGGAAAGCTATAAAGGATCTGAGACCCTGAAGAATCTAGTCTTTCAATTCCTGCTTCAGTAAGTATCCCTGGGATCATTCATGAAGCAAAGGAGGAATGGGACAGGAGAGGCTACACAAGCACAGGTCTTCTCAAGGGTTGAGAGGAGCCTTCAGGGTACCTTGAGGGCCCAAATCAGAGAGATAGCCTGTCCCCCCCAACACACAGATATTACTTGATTTATGATTCTGAAGACAGACGGAATCTCCTCAGCGCTTACCATGAGGAGGCTTGCTTCTCCCTGACTGTTCTCTTCAACTCTGAAGAACCAGCCTCGTAAGTATCACAGCTCAGACTCTGATACTGGGCCATGTTGCTTCCCAGCAGACATAGGCCAGCTCTTAGAAACACCTACTCTTCCTGGACCACCACTTTCTCTTTCTCTTTCGCTCTTAGAAGCAGCTTGTGCGAGTACTTCAAGGATAATAGAAATATGAAGAAAGTCAAGGATCCTGGTAATTGAGAGATATGAGATCAGCATGGGAAAAGGGGTATGAAGGAGTCAATCATAGTGGCCAAGGGCCCAACATTCCTTTCTCTTCCCCCCTACAGACCTTCGGGTTCAGCTACTGAAGCATACAAAGCATGATGTTGTGTGCTCCCTCTGTCGTTTGCCCAAAACTCAGCACGAACTTAACTCCTATGTGGTAGACCTGTACATCCACACGGTGAGCACCTGGTTTCCTCTCTTTCACAGACCAAGAAAATCAGAGGTGGGTAGGAGGTTAAAAGGATACTGAGAGCCCTAATAACTATTCTCTCCTTTCAGGAAAGGATGCTGTGCTTCTCTGTTAGAGGGGTGTTCAAAGAATGTGAGTGCATGTAGAGTTCCCTCCGCAGATGCCCCACTACTTTCTTTCCCTAACTGGACTTACCCCCCAACTTTCCCCACTTTCCAGGTTGCTTCTTCTTTTCCTTGCCTTGCCTTCCCTTCCTTTTCTTCCACACCCATCTTGCCCCCAATCTATTGTGTTCTGACATACATACATGCCTTTCTATCCCAACACAACTCACATGTTAGAGACACAACCTGTGGAGTTTTATAGATTTCATCCCAGTTCTTCATTCTGTGACCTTGGGCCTAATAGGTCACCATTCAGTTTCCTCATTTGCAAAATGTGCTGGTAATACCTTCTCTAGGGCTGCTTTTAAAAAAATGAATCAAGTGAACATATATTTGTCAGAAGATCTAACACATGTTAGGGGTTCTATTACTGGGAGTTGATTATCCCTATTGTTGCCCTCTTAGTCCTTGAAACCCCCTCCTGAGTCACAGTGAAACATTGTCCTTGTCTGGATCCCATCAGGGTCCTGCAAGAGTATCAGGTTAAAACCCTGACTGGGGAATGTTGCTTATGTGAAAAGTATGTACAACTCTAAGGGAGGATTGCTTTTTCTTGTCATTGAAGTGGAAGGAAAGTCTCAAGGGTCTGTCCATGCCTTCACCCGTACCTTCATCTTGTCTTCTGGCAGCAATTCCAGGTAAGAGCTGTGTTGTGGGTGCAACATGAGATTGAACACCCATCCCAGCCTAATTCCAGTGGTGTAGGAATGTGGTGGTGCAGCCTGAAACTTTTCTCAATATTCTTGAAAGCCAACAGGTAGACCCATGGAGAGGTCTAGGTTAGTGGTTAAGACTGGGCTCTAGAATCAGAATACCAGATTCTTTTCCTGACCTCAATACTCACTCGCTTGCTAAGTGCCCTTGGTGAAGTTATAAGACCTCAGTGACTCATTGTCCCCTTCTGAAAATGGGGATTAGAGTTTCCATTTCTTGGGCTGCTGTAAAGGGTAAATGCATTAGTATTCAATCTAATCATTGAGTAAAGCTGGTAGAAAGTGAGCTCAGTGGGAGAGGCAGAGGTAGCAGGCAAGAAATATGGGGGGAGGCAGGCACAATTGGGGTATGGTAGGAAACTAGTTTCTGAGTGGCAGGATTGTTTTTGGGAGTCTGAGCACCCATCTTTCTTCCAGCCTATGCATCGTGAATGATATATTGACTGTGGGGAACGCCAGGACAAAAGAAACCCAGAGTGCATTCTCCACTCCAGTGCCTACACCCACCTTCAGCTCCCTGCCCACCATCTCTGCAGAGCAGCAATAAATGGTGCAGGTTTTCTCTACTGAGTCTGCGATAAGCCTCCAGTAGTTTCAGAAGTGAATGCTGGAATCTATGGGAACAGAAGGGACCTGGGAGGTCAAGGGAGTGGATAAAGGGAACTTGCAGTTAATTTGTAAAAATAATTTTTTGGATGTTGTGCTTCCAAAAAAAGTGAGCTCATAAATTAAGTATATTAATTTTATTCTGATATGTAAATAATTTTAAAACAATGTATTGTTCAGATGACATGAGCTTGTATATATAAAATACTAAGGAAACCACTTAAAAATGTTATAATTAATAACAAGTTCAGCATGATTACAGGGTACAAGATCAATATACAAAAATCAATTGTATTTCTATACACTAGTAATGAACAATCAGAAAATGAAATTAAGAAAATTTCATTTACAATAACAAAAAATAACATACTGAGGAACAAATTTAATAAAAAATACAAAATGTATACTCCAAAATCTGCAAAATATCATTGTAGTAAATTTAAAAAGACCTAAATAAGGAGAAAAATATCCTGTGTTTCTGGATCAGAAGAATTAATATTGTTAAGATGGCAATACACCCCAATTTATATACTAATTCAATGCAATTATATCAAAATATAAGCTGGTTTCTTTGTACAAACTGAAAAATTAATGCTAAAATTCACAGGAAAATGCAGTGGACCCATAACAGACAAAATAATCTTCAAAAAGAGCAAAGAGAACTCACGCTTCCCTACTTCAAAACAGTACAAAGCTATAGTAATCAATACTATGTGGTACTAGCTTAAGGATAGACATATAAATCAATGGAATAGAATTTATTTACACACACGCACACCTCACCTTTATGGACAATTGATTTTCAACAAGGGTGGCAAAAAAGTTCAGTGAATAAAGAATAGTCTTTTCAGCAACTGATTCAGGGACAACTACATACCCACTCACAAAGAATTAATGTATATCTCTATCTCACACCATATATAAACATAAATCACAAGTTATAGCTAACACTATAAAAATCTTAGAAGAAAATATTGGGGTAAGTTCTTTGTGACCTTGAATTAGGCAACAGTTTCTGACATACGATACCACACACACACGCACACAAAATTAAATCAATTGGACTTCATCAAAACTTAAAACTTTTTGCATCAAAGGACTCTAACAATAAAATGAAAAGACAATCCACAGAATCAGAGGAAATATTTGCAAATCACATATCTGATAAAGGATGTGTATCCAGAATACATAAAAAAACCCACCTCTTAGAACTCAAATATGAAAAGGCAAGTAACTCAGTTAAAATAAACAAAGATCTCAATAGACATTTATCTAAACAATGGCCAAAAAGCACATGAAAAAAGATACCCAATTTCATTATTCAGTTTCAAAATGCAAAACAAAAATAGAATGAGATACTATTTCACATACATTAGGATGGCTATGTGTCGACAAAGATGTGGAGAAACTGGAACCCTCATACATCGCTGGTGGGAATGGAAATGTTGTAGCCACTATGGAAAACAGTTTGGCAGTTCCTCGAAATGTTAAACTGTGCATTTACCATATAACTCAGCAGTTCCACTCCTGAATATATATCAAGATAATTGAAAACATATGTGCACAGAAAAAATTGTATGCAAATGTTCACAGCAGCATTATTTTTAATAGCCAAAAAGTGAAAACTGCCTAAATGTCCATCAATTTATTAAAGAATAAATAAAATGTAGCATATTTATACAGTGGAATGTTATTCAATAATAAAATAGAATGGAGTTCTGATACCTGTTATAACATGGATGAACCTTGAGACTATTATGTTAAGTGAAAGAGGCAGACACAAAAGACCATATATTATATGAGCACATTCACTTGAAATGCCCAAATGGGTGAATTCGTAGTCAGGTAGCCGATTAATGGTCACTAGGATATGGGAAAAGGGGGAATAGGGAGTGACTCCTCATCAGTGAAAAGTTTTATTTATGGTGATAAAAATGCCTTGGCATTAGATTGCAGAACTCTGATGAGTGCAAAGTCTTGTGAATATACTAGAAAATCACTAAATTGTGGTTGCTTTACTTTAAAATGATGAACACTACAGTATGTACATTATAACCCAATTTAAAAATGATTGGAACATTGTATTTAGAATTTTTTATTTGTTATTTTCTTGAACATCTTTATCAATATATATTAACCTCCCTTGTTCTTTTGAACATTTCTATTTTTCTATTTCGAATCCTAGTGGGCAGACATTTTGGTTTTCACTAGGTTTTTCTTCCTCATTACACATAGTGCTCATTATGGTACGTGTTTCTCAGAATAGATTTAGTGGCATAGATTTCATGGTGGCATTGCATGGTCAGTGTATCTGTACTGTGGTATTAATGGAGACCGCCTGCTCTTCCACTCCAGGTGCCTTCAGGACAATGAGTGGAACCACAGCAGAGCTGCTGGGGTCTTCACTATGCTCAAGGTGAGATCTGGGTATCAAGTGGGTTAAAGATGGATGTTTCTGGGCCTTTGGGAAGGCCTAGATGGTGGAAGGTGGTGCCCTGGAATAAAACCCAGGGAGCTGGCTCTTCTGACACCCCAACTCCTCCTCTCCAGACCGAGGGCAAGAGCCAAGAGGAGGCCTTCAAACAAACCCCTTAAAAAGATTCCCTGGATGTCATCTTTGTCTTCATCGCCATCATTCTGGATTCTCTTTTCTCTAGCCTAAGGCTATACCCATAACTAGGGCTGGAGGCCTGGCTGACCAAGAAGCCAAACTTACCTTATAGGTCAAGTAACTTAACCACTTGAAGGGTCAGTTGTTCTGTTTATTTTCCCCACTCATGAGTGCTGTTTATTTTTATAATAAAGAATGATGTTACACATTGTAGGCTGTGTGTTTGGATTGTTCTTCCCCTGCCTAACAATGAACCAAAAGGATGGAGGACTGAAAGGCCTTCCCTTTTCCCCCACCCCCGCCCTAACTCTGCCATTCACCCTGGCTGTCTGTAGCAGATACATCAGGCTTGACTCCATAGGCAGTTCATCAATGCATTCTGATAAGAAGGGACACACTCTGGTTTTAGGGTTGTCCTTTGGAGACAGTGAGACTCAGTCAGTTGCTCTACCTAGTGGCCCGCAGAAGCAGGCATGGGGCCTGGCACAAATGGACTTTGCAAAGGAATGCCTAATATAACATGTATGAACCTTAAAAATGTTATGCTAAGTGAAGGAAGGAAGTCACAAAAGACCACATAATGTATGATTCCACTTATATGAAACATTCAGAGTATGAAAATCCATAGATAAGTAGATTAGCATTTGCCAGGGTCAGGAGCAAATGGGAAATGGAACATGACTGCTTAATGGATATAGGGTCTCCTTTTAGGGTGATGACAATGTTCTGGAAGTAGATCACGATAATAGTTGTACAACATTTGATTGTTCGAAATGCCACTGAATTGTTCACTTTAAAATGGTTAAAAGGGTAAGTTTATTATGTGACTTCTTCAACAATTAAAAAAAAGGCACTAAGATGTTGATGAACCCTAAAAATACTTTGCTAACTGAAAAAGCCATTTATATGAAATATCCAGAATAAGTAAACCACAGTGACAGAAAGCAGATTTGTGGTTGCCAAGTCCTGGGTGGAGGGAGAATGAGAGTAAGTACTTAATAGTATGGGATTTCTAAATAATTTATGAAACTAGATAATTATATTGGTTATATAACATTGTGAACATACTTAATGCCACTGCATTATACATTTTAAAATGGTCAAAACAGTAAATTTTATGCTGTCTATATTTTACTATAACCTTTAAAAATCCACAGTGGAGTTCTTTTTAAAATTATACTGATTTTTTCATGAATATAATATACTTACTGTAGAAATGTGGAAAATACATAACAGTATAAAACCAAAGGGAAAAAATACCCTCACAATCTAAATCATGAGCACAATCTCCATTGCTGCACATTTTTGCCTTTCTTTGCACATACTCTATCCTTATATAACTTGCCATCTGGATAACATTGTTTTAGAGAATATTTTTTCATTTGGCATCACTTATTTGGAATTTTCTCTATATCACTAAAATCTAAAACATTTTGAAAGGAAATTACAAAATACCACAAATAAACAAATAGAAAAATAGTTAAAGAAAGAAATGGCATGGGTAGAAGCTTTTGCAGGAAGAGGGGTGAAGAAAGTATGTTTTTATTTTATTTTTTTGATTTTTTAAAAAATTATGTCTTTATTGTTGAATTTATTACAGATGTTCCTCATTTTTCTCCCATTGACCCCCTGCTCCCCACTCCTGCCCCCCTCCTGCATTTTCCCACACTGTTATCTGTATCCATTAGTTATGGATATATGCATATAAGTTCTTTGGTTTATTTCTTCCCACCCCCCAAGCCCCCTTCCCTTTGAGGTTTGTCAGTCTAGCAACCAATTTGTACTTCTTAATCCCTTCACCTTTTTCACCCATTCCCCCATCCCCCCTCCCATCTGGCAACCAACAAAATGTTCTCTGTATCTATGAGAATGTTTCTGTTCTGTTTGTTCGTTTTGTTTGTAGATTCAATTGTTGATAGCTATGTATTCACTGCCATTTTGTTTGTTCATATTTTTTTTTCTTTTTCTTCAAGAAGACCCTTCAACATTTCATATAATAATTGTTTGGTGGTGTTGAACTCCTTTAGCTTTTCCTTGTCTGGGAAAGTCTTTATATGGCAATCGATTCTAAATGCAGCTTTGCAGGATAGAGTAATCTTGGTTGTAGGTTCTTGCTTTTCATCACTCTGAAAATTTCTTGCCACTCCCTTCTGGCCTGCAAAGTTTCTTTTGAGAAATCAGCTGACATTCTAATGGGAGCTCCCTTGTAGGTAACTAACTGCTTTTCTCTTGCTGCTTTTAAGATTCTCTCTTTGTCTTGAACCTTTTGCATTTTGATGATGATGTGTGTTGGTGTGGGCCTCTTGGGGTTCATCTTATTTGGGACTCTCTGTGCTTCCTGTACTTGTATGTCTGTTTCTTTCACCAAGTTAGGGAAGTTTTCTGCCATTATTGTTTCAAATAGGTTTTCGATTTCTTGTTCTCTCTCTTCTCCTTCTTGCACCCCCAAGATGTGAATGTTGGCACGCTTGAAGTTGTCCCAGAGGCTCCTTACACTATCCTCATTTTTTTGGATTCTTTTTTCTTGTTGCTGTTCTGATTGGGCATTTTTTGCTTCCTTATATTCCAAGTTGATGGTTTGCTTATTGGCTTTACCTACTCTACTATTGAATCTGTGTAAATTATTCTTTATTTCAGTTAGTGCCTCCTTCATTTCTGATGGTGCATCCTTCATTTCTGACTGGTCCTTTTTGATGTTCTTGAGGCCTTCACTAAGTTCACTGAGGTTCTCACTAAGTTCATTGAGCATCCTTATAAGCAGTATTTTGAACTCAGCATCTGTTAGGTTGCTTATCTCCATTTTCCTTAGTTCTTTTCCTGGGGTTTTGTTCTGTTCTTTCATTTGGGACCTGTTTCTTGGTCTCATCGTTTTGGCTGCCTCCCCTCCCTGTGTTTATTTCTACATGTTACTTAACGAGAGGGATGGGGTTAGCTGAGACCAGATGCTGCTTGTTTGAAAGAATTTAGGAAATTCTGTTGTAACCCAAGAGAGTCATCCTCATTCAGACATCAAGTAATTTTGAATATTAGGAGCTTTATTACCTGCGCAGGGACTGCAGCCAACCTACACAGAGGAGAACTGCATCCCTGAGCTCAGGGGGAGGGTTGCTTATATAGGACAGGGGTTACTCAAGAGTTTAGCGGAGCAAGCAAGCTACGTGTACAGAAGCAGATATCAGCAGTTAGTAACTGCACAAGTTGTTTATTTTATATTTCTTAACATTTACTAGACCCTAGCCTTGAATGCCTCATTGTCCCGTCTGGCATCTCCTGATTAGGTAAGCTCATGGTCATGGTCATGGCTGATGCATACCTTCCTCTTCAAGAATTTTTGCAAAAACAACTTGGGTTCAAGGAACCCAGGAGAGGTTCCTTCTTCTAGCAGATGGAGAATTACTGGGTTATAACATTCCCCACTGGTTTTATGTACAGATCAAATCTTTGATCTAATGGCAACCTTTGGTAATGAGAGGCCAGGACTAATAATTTGACAGATTAGATCCCCTCTCTTATGAAAGCTATTAATTTGTTTATCATTATAGGTCCACAGAAATAGTCCTAGAAATAGGAGTATGAGGGGGCCTGCTAGAGCAAAGAGAAGAGTAGTGAGCCAGGAGGACCAGTTACAAAGGCCTTCAAACTAGCTACTAGAGGCCTCTTTGCTTCTGGCCTGTTCTGCAAGGTGCTTCCTGAGAACGTGAATACTCCCTCTGATGACTCCTATCTATTGGCATAAAAACAGCAAGCTTCCCTTAGTGCTCTAAATGCTGTATGGTGTCAGCGAGATAACTAGAGACGCACAGCCGAATTGTAAAGGAGCACTTTACATCGGTGGGCTGGGGGGGGGGCATTCCCCAAATCCTCAGCAACCTGCCTTCTTTGTTGCCTGCTTTTAAAGGCACAAACTACAGAAAAAAACTACATTCTCTTGGCACCACTTTTGGCACTGTTAAAGGGGGTTGATACAGAGAAGGGAGAGAGGAGCTTGTTTTGTCAGGGCAGCTATTAATCTCTTTTTTCTCATGGTTCCTCTGAGTTCCCCAAGGCCATTATTAACTCCTTATCTTTCTATTTTTTTTTGGGTTTCTCAAGGCCCTTATGTTTATAAAGAAAGTCTGCTAGGGTGTGTACGTATAGTAACTGAGGGTCAGAATGGAGTTATTATATCCCCTTTGTGGTGACATTTTTTAAGATTTCCCCTAATATTCCATTTCTGAGTTCCCAGTTCTATTGGAGTCTAGATTTATAAAGATTCCCCTGTACAGTTATAATTATAAAAATTAGAGTCCTGATAAATGCAAGAGTCTCATTTTTAAGGATCTGGAGAGGCCTGCACTGTCCATTCCGCTTTTTCTGCCTTCAGCCAGGAATGGTGCAGCTAGACCAGGATGCCGTTGACCTTGACAGCCGTTGGCGCAGGCAGGATGACAGTGTATGGTCCTTTCCAGGCCAGAGTTAGTCCCTGGGTGGTGAATTTCTTTACCTATATTGATTCCCCAGGCTGGAAAGGGTGCACAGGGTTTGAGGTGGGCACAGACAGGGCATCGCAGATGTGTTTATGGATGGCCTTCTGGGCAGACTGCAGGGCCTGTAAGAACTGTAAGTGGGCGAGGGGGAGCAGAGTGGTCCAATTTTCACCAGTTTCTAACATTATTCATGCGCTTTACCTGCCTGGAACTCTGTGGGCAGTAAGCACAATAAAGCTTCTAATTTATATTTAACCCCTTAGAGATATCCTGTGATATCTTTGCTATTAAGGTGGAGCCATTGTCTGATCTAAGGGTCAGGAGTAGCCTAAACCTGTTACTCTCTTTATTATATCCCAGACTGTTATTCTATTATTAGAGGCAAGTTCTCCCTCTCTCAGTGTCTTATTTTCTTCCCTTGTTGAGTATTCCTCTAATGTCCTGTCTTCCTGTAATATGTATGTCCCTTTCTCTTATCCTTCCTTATCTTTTTATTTCCTCTGCACAATCCTTCTCTT